AATAGAGAGACTGAGTCAAGGTCACCCAAAAGGTTCTAATGCTGAGCAGGGTCTTGAATTTTAATTTTGCCAGCCCTAAACACAAGAGGAAACCAATTAACCATGATTACTTTTAACAAAACCACTTTAAACTCCTCTTCTTAAAAGCTACTTTTATGACAGAGATATCTATTGAAGAGTATCAGTAGAGTTAAATTCTATTTTGTGAAAAGATTAGAAATAATAGATCCTTCCGTTTCCTCCTCCTCTCATGGCAAACTTGATTTTGTCTTTTAGAAAAGATCGTTTCTCTTCTGCTTTCTGCTTGATATAGATGTGACAGGACAGCCTAATGCACAATTCATCCTGGGCCACAAAAAGTAGAAGCTATTGCTCCCAGGAGGAAAATTGTAGAATATCTGCAAAACAGATGGGAGGGGGCAGATAGATTTCAAACAGAGCTATTGGTGTTTCCTTTTGAACAATGAACCCCAAAGATACATTTCAAAGGCATCTTTTCAACCCTGGCATCTATAGGTCGAGCTTAAATGCTCTTATTCCTCTCAGGTTGCTCATTCTTCAGAACTGAGTGTTATATATGCAGCAGAAAAGGCTGCTGTTTACTAAAAGGGCATCTGAAAGACCTTCTCTGGAGGCAATATTAAGCAGTTATCTCTGCTTTTGACTGTGCTGAGAGATTGTTGACTAAGAAAGCAGGTTGGTATCCACATTGTGTGGATGACTTCGTAGCATTAGCAAGAGTAATAGCACTTAGACTTATATACCGCTTCATAGTGCTTTACAGCCCTCTCTAAATGGTTTACAGAGTCAGCATATTGCCCCCCCCCCCAACAACCTGGGTCCTCATTTTACCACCCGTGGAAGGCTGAGTCAATCTTGAACTAGTGAGACTTGAACTGCCAAACTGCAGGCAGCCAGCAGGCAGCAGAAATAGCCTGCAGTACAGCATTCTAACCACTGTACCACCATGGCTCATAAACTCTTCTTTTAGTCATTCATGCCTTGGGCATCTCCCTTATTGACTACTGCAATGAGGTCTACGTGGGGCTGGCCTTGAAGAGTATCCAGAAGCTGCAGCTGGTGCAGAGTGCAGTGGCATAAGCAGTTTTGGGTGCTTCTAGGGTTGTATATGTAACATCTTTGCAACACTGAGTGCCAATTTGTTTATGGGTCCAATTTAAGGTGTTGATCACATTTTTAAAGCCCTTTATGGCATGGGACCCTCTAAGGAACCCTCCCATCCCATTTTTTTATTTTATTTCATTATTCTATTTTATTTGAACCCTGCCTTTATTATTTTTATAAATATCTCAAGGTGGTGAACATATCCAACACACCTTCCTCCTCCTCTTTTCTCCACAACAACAACCTGTGAGATGAATTGGGCTGAGAGAGAGTGACTAGCCCAAAATCACCCAGCTGGATTTTATAGTCCCCTCGCACCTCAACAGACAGGGAAGGCACATTACAGAGCCCATCAGTTAAAGCAGGGCTCCTCAACCTTGGCAACGTTAAAACTTGTGGACCTCAACTTCTGGGATTTGAAGTCCACAAGTCTTAAGGTTGCCAAGGTTGAGTACCCTGAAGAACTTTGACTGATGGGGTCTAGGAAGAAAGCCTTCTCTGCTGTCTGCCTTGCCCTATGGAACAACTTGTCTCCAGAAGCAAAAGGTCCTTACTCTCCTGGGCTTCCAGAAGAGCATTAAGACCTGGCTCTGTCAGTTGGCCTGGGAATCCCAGAATGCTTTGCATCCCTGGAGTGCAAAGGTTGGTAGGCCAAAGGTACTCCTTCTGGCTGTTAACTTTGCGATTGTCCCTTTTAACTTTGTTTTAATCCGGTTTTTAATTTGTTTTTTAACGATAGCATTTATATCATTTATTGTTTTATCTGCAAATTGCCCAGAGGCACACAAGTGTGATGGGCAGTATAAATATTTGGTAAATAAATAAATAGAATTAAAAATGGAGATGCATTGAGTTTAGGCACAGGCAGGCTTTTGACCAAAGAAGGTGGCATTTAAAATTGTGGGGGGTGATAGAGAAGCATAGTGGATAGAGATAAGACTGTGTTACTCACATAGCCTTGGTGGCGCAGTGGTTAAAGTGCAGTATTGCAGCCAAACTCTGCCCACAGCCTGGAGTTCAATCCTGATGAGGCTCAAGATTGACTCAGCTTTCCATCCTTCCAAGGTCTTTCCAATGAAGACCCAGATTGTTGGGGGCAATATGCAAATAATGCTTCTACAGCATTATTTAGAGAGTGCTGAAAAGTGCTATGGGGCAGTATATAATCCTAAATGCTATTGCTGTGCTATTGCTATAACAATACTGTGATTTTTTTGGTTCTTGTTTTGAGGGAAATGTTTGTTCCTCCTTCCAAGAAAAGCAAAGGAAGCATTGTATTGCCACATTTTGAAGCTGGCACGTTGGAGATTCAAAGAAAAACTCCAAATCTCATATTATACTCAATTCTGATGGGAATATAAAGGGACTATGATTAGTGTTTGCATTTAAATGCAAGGAGAAGCATTCAAATTTGGAAAGCTGCATGACATTGGAACTGTGTCACTTGCAATGCTAATTTTTCATTCAGGCAATGTTTTAGTCAACCTGCATCAGAAGAGGGAATATAGATTTGGCAAATGTACAGTTAATTTCTTTCCAGGTGTACTGAAAGGTAAGTCCTACAGAGTTTAATGGAAACTTACCTTCAGGCATCTACCACACATTGTAACCTAAAATCCCTGTTGATTGATTCCATTGATCTCCCTCCCTTCCACACTCTTTGTTGTCAGCCTCTGTGAAATCTTTCCTGCCTTTAAATAGGGATAAGGAAAGATGTACTTGAATAACCTTGAGATAGCTGCATCACCATTGCATGCTCTTTTCACAAGATTTTTAAGGTGAAGTTCCTTGATGCCGTCTAAGCCGGTGCAATTGTTAAAGGATTTATTGACTTAACATAAGCCAAGACTGAATAAATATCCATATACTGTTTTCTTGAGTGGTTTATTTTATTGGGCTTTAAGTCTACTTTATTTTTTATAAAGGCCAATAATTTCCTCGCACAAAACTCTCAGCATCGCCATTAAAGATTCTTGCTTTCTATATTTGGGAAATATATTGAAATAACCGATAGTTAAATGTTACAGGAGAAACTGGATCCTGATTCAACCCCTAGTTTCTTCTACTCGGGAATGGAAGAAAACAAAGAGATAATGTGTTCTAATGGTTAAGGTACTGGAATAAGATAGGGAAGACCCAGGTTCAAGTCTATTCTCAACATGGGTGTCCTTGGGTGAGTTGCTTTCTCTCAATCCAATGTTTTGGGTTGTTGCTGTGAGCATAAAATGAATGAAAATATTTGAAAGTTGCATTAGGACTCCAATAAAAAGGTAGGATATAAAGATGATGATGATGATGATGATGATAATAATAATAATAATAATAATAATAATAATAATAATAATAGTAGTAGTAGTAGTAGTAGTAGTAGTAAAGTTGGAAGGGACCTTGGAGGTCATCTAGTCCAACCCCCTGCTCAGGCAGGAAACCCTACACCATTTCGGACAAATGGCTGTCCAGTCTCTTCTTAAAAACTTCCAGTGTTGGAGCATTTACTGCTTCTGGAGGCAAGCTGTTCCACTGATTAAATGATGATGATGATGATGATGATGATGATGATGATGATGATAGAAAAGAAAGCAAAAATAATAAGAGTAGTAATAGGGTCCTTCGGTGCAATTCCAAAACATCTGGAGCACCATTTGAACACCATCAGCATTAACAAAATCACCATCAGTCAATTGCAGAAGGTAGCTTTACTTGGAACAGCTTACATCTGTGATGCACCTTTAGTAACATCAGCTACCTATCTCAAGTCCTTGGGAACTTGATAGGTAGATAAAAATGCCAAATCTAGTCTCAACATCTGGCTAACTGTGTGACCAACCATAATAGCATAGAATGTATGCTATTAGGTAGAATAGAATAGAATAGAATAGAATAGAATAGAATAGAATAGAATAGAATAGAATAGAGCTGGAAGGGACCTTGGAGGTCTTCTAGTCTAGCCCCCTGCTCAAGCAGGAGAACCTATACCATCTCAGACAGGTGAATGTCTAGTCACTTCTTGAAAATCTCCAGTGATGGAGTGCCCACGATTTCTGGGGGCAAGCTGTTCCACTGGTTCATTGTCCTCATTGTCAGGAAGATTCTCCTTAATTCCAGGTTGCTTCTCTCTTTGATCAGTTTCCAACCATTGTTTCTCGTCCTTCATTCTGGTGAACAACCTGGCCCCCTCTGCCTTGTGGCAGCCCCTCAGACACTGGAACATTGCTATCATGTCTCTCCTATTTCTTCTTTTCTTTAGACTAGACCAGTGGTTCTCAATCTGTGGGTCGGGACCCCATTTGGGGTCGAACGACCATTTCACGGGGGTCGCCAAACAATGCAGTCTGCCATTTTTTCCCCCTTTTTCTTAGCTGTGCTACTCCCTTTTATTCTATTGGCTTTTGAAAGCCAATAGAATAGACTCTCTTGAATAGAGTCTAATTCTATTGGCTTTCAAAAGCCAATAGGAATTGTCCAGGCTGTCTCTGCCCTGCTGAGCCCACCAAAATTCCCATTCTGAAAACAGTGCTGCACCAGTTGAGTAGTCCTTGACTTACGACTGGTTGAGTAGTCCTCGACTTACAACCGGTTGGGGTCGTGGCATTAAAAAGGTTGAGAACCACTGGACTAGACAAATGTAGGTAGACTAGAATTTTGATTCCTTATAAAATGATTATATATACCATACATTCATCCTTCATTCAAGGTATATGGTTTGAATGCAGCATTCCTCTGCCTGCCAACTCATCTCTAGGAATTTTGGCAAAAGCAATCACAATGTATCCAGAAGGTATCAAATTACGAGAACCAATCTAATCAATTGTATGCTTCTTGGAATGTAATTGCCCAGCATCTTTCAAAACTAATGGTTTGGTTTTCTCTTCTAGGGCAGAGCCAGTTCTTTCAAGAATCCAGGAGAACCGGAAAAGGGTCATCCTCCCATCAATTGACAATATCAAGCAGGACACCTTTGAGGTGCAGCGCTATGAAAATTCAGCCCATGGATACAGCTGGGAGCTTTGGTGCATGTATATTAGTCCGCCAAAGGATTGGTGGGATGCAGGAGACCCTTCCTTACCTATCAGGTTGGTTCTGAAATGCACGTTTTTAGGTATTCAAGGTGTTTCCTTTTTCTTTTTTGATTCTTCAGAGTGGAACATAATGTCACATAAATCAACAACTTAACAGGATGCTAGTATTAGAACTTGGCCAGATATTGCAATTTATCATATTAAAAACTTCTCTTTCTGAATCAAGCTCTGAGTGAGCAGAATTTTGAACTGTTGACTGGAAACAAACAAACAAAAATTTCTGGAGGAGACACCAGCTTTTCTTTTCTTGGTTGTTCTTTTTGCATTTATTCGATGACTTTTCTTATAAAAGAGGTAAACAGTATGGTGTTGGTGGATATGTATCTTGGCTCTAATCCCCCCTGATCATCAAAGCCATCAGCACAATCTCCTCCTCCTCCTCTTCATTATTATTATTAAGCTTATTTTATTTTTAAACCAACCGAATCTTAGCTTAGAAGTAAATTGAATCACTTTTAACTCTACAATATTCTCCCATTGTTTGTCTGACTGATTTTTCTTCAACAGGAAAAGAAAAAGAAATTAATTAAAAGAATGTCTCTAGACCCCACATACACTACATACTTAAAAAATAAAAGATGGTGGGCAACTGAAGCCCCATGATGGGAAAGTGTTCACAGTTTTCCCCGGATAACAGATTAAATAGACTAAATAAAACAGGGATCAAGGAAGCATCATGGAAATCTAGAAATGGTGACAAAAAACCAACTCACCACCTTGTATTTTAAGAAATGATGTTCCATGCCTCTTTACATTCACCATTGCAGGCAATTTGTGATAGTGTTCATGAATTTCTCTTTCTTAAGATACTCAACAGTTCAAAAATATTACTTATATCTTGCCTTTTTTTTCCTTTTAACGTCCCTGAAATCCCTTACATCGGGGTAGAGTTGGGGTGACTAAATTGGAGCTGAGCATTTACTGGCTGGATGCCCTTCCTGACACCCATGCAGAGTTCACAGCAGATATTTTCTCTTTGCACCCAGAAAGAGAAATATCTGCTGCTACCTAGGATCAAACTTGCTGCCTCCTGATTGTGAGGCAAGGGCTCTATTTCTAGACCACCACACTATTCTTTCTCATTCCTGTTGTTTGCTTGTTTGTTTATTTACCTTTAGCTTGCCTTAAGAATTAGAAAAAAAAACAGTGACAATTGACTGCTATGGGGGAACAAATCATAAGTAGAGATAATTATCAAGCATTTCTAGAACTCTTCCAGTTTTCTCTTCAGACAAACATTTGAATTTCTCAAGAGGCATTGTGGATACTTAAATGTGATGTTTGTAGGAGAAGAACAGGCAGAGTTTGGGGATGATGTTAAATGTGTCATCAGCTTAGAATCCTTACATTCCCACAAACAATCCAAGTCCAACCCTTCTTGAAATCTGTTAAACCTTACCTAGCACCAATTTAATAATTAAGGTTGACTAGATTCTTATGTATAGACTTGAAAAAAATCTTTTGTGCTGTGACTTAATGAATGATCCTGATCCTTTGTGCCTGATAATGTTTTTCTCTTGGGAATAAAATATAGCACATGTACATCTTGTGCCATGTAGCTCTTTGTTTGGGCATTTGGGCCCGATTGTCCATAGGATTATTATATTAATTGTCATTGATTGGTTTGTAACCTTACCTTTATTTTGTGGTTGCTGTTTTTTCTCCAGTCCTTTATGTCATATTTCCCCTTTTCTATCAGATTAAAAATATATAGAAAGTTGGGAACAATTTTACACCTGAAAAACTGATTGGCAAACCACCCTGCACTGTTACTAATAAAACCACATAAGGGTAATGGGCAGAAAGAATACTTTAAGAAAGAGAAGGAAGAACTGCAACCAAAACAATGAGTAGAGAAAATAAATTTGAGTCTGAGGCAGAACTGTAATTTGAGAAAATGTCTCAAGCTTGACCTTCCCTAATTCTCTTGTAAATAAAAGGAGGGAGGGAAGATGTGCATTCAGATTTGCAAGATTCTATTACTGTCAACCTTATAATAAAAGTACTATTAACATTCATAAACTTTGTTTCCTCGTCTGGCTGACTTTGAAAGGTTATCCATAAAGTCATCAGAAGCTGAGCATAACTTCACAAAATAACATAGTTGGAAGGGCCCTTGGAGTTCTTCTAGTCAAACTCCCTGCTCAGGCAGGAAACCCTGTACCATTTCAGACAAGTGGTTGCCAATCTCTTCTTAAAAACTGCCAGTGATGGAGCACCCACAACTTCTAAAGGCAAGTTGTTCCACTGATTAACTATTCTGTCAGGAAATTTCTCCTTAGTTCTAGGTTGCTTTCCTCCTTGATTAGGTTCCATCCATTGCTTCTTGTCCTGCCTTCAGTGCTTTGGAGAGTACATTAACTCCCTCTTCTTTATGGCAACACCTTAGATATTGGAACAGTGTTATCATGTCACCCCCAGTCCTTATTTTCATTAAACTAGACATATCCAATTCTAGCAACCATTCTTTATATGTTTAACCTCCAGTCCCCTAATCATCTTTGTTGCTTTTCTCTGCACTCTTTCTAGAGTCTCAGCATCTTTTTTACATCTTTACATCTTCTTTACTTGAAGGAGATTTTACTTTTCAGTAACATTCTACATCTGCTCCTAAAGATTGATGTTGGGCACCTCATTTCTAAGTAGACCATCACTTTTCCGTCCTCTAATTTCTACCTACAAAATCTTTCTTTCCACCCCAGTCTGTGCAAATAAATGTCACAGCACAGGAATAATACACAAATGTAGAAAAGAGGTTACTGATCATTGCCTTGTGGGGGGAAAATGTTGCAAAGATGTCCAGCTTGACCTGAAGTGACCTTCCCAAAGTCACTGGAACTAAATCAGAAGCCCAAAGTCACTGGAACTAAATCAGACTATCACCAAAGTGCAGGAAGGGAGATGAAATAAAATCTATGAAGCCATAGCTTGGAAGGAGAAAAGATAATATCACAGAGCAGAATTGGGTTTTCAGTCTAAATCGTCATAGTAGAAAATAGAAGAATAACTCCCCAGACAGGCCTGGTATATTTGAAAGACACCCCATCTGCTTGCTGTCCGTACAGTCTGTTCTCTTTGAGTGAAGGAACAGACAGCCTTTCTCTCTCCTGGGGCAAATTGCCCAGAATCAAATGAAACAGTAATGCTTCACTAAAAAGTGAACCTTGAGGTGGGGGTTGGAAAACTGCTTGCTTGATCACTGGGATAAAAATAACTAGGTTGAAAGTGGGATAATCAGGACCTTCTGTGTTCTGATCAGGGAAGAAAAGCAAAGGACTTAGAGATCATCAGTATGAAACTCACTCATCCACCAAATTGCAAAGTTGGAAGAAAACTCAAAGATCACCAGATCTTGCATTGCTGAAATGATAAGTGACCATCCATTCCATGCTTAATAACGCTGAATGTGTAGGAGAAGGAGTGGCAGAATCAGGGGGCAGAGTCAAATGAGGAATCAACCTAGAATCCCTACATAGCCACAAGTGAAATAGGTCCAATCTTGAATTCTGTTGATCCTTATCTAACCCAAGCAAGTGCTAACTGTTAGTTGAGAATATTCCTGGGCATAGGCATGAATAGCCACAAATCATTTTAACTTGGGCCTTCATGTGTAGACCTGATTTTTTGTGCTTGACAGAATGGAGGCCTGTAGCCTTAAACAATTCTGTTGTTGAGATCAATCTCTTTTTCTTATAATCAAAACCCACTAACATCTGAAACAATGGGTAAAATTATCTATCTTTTTAAGCCATTGGATTCTTAAAGACATATTTGTAAAGTTCTTCATCATTGTTTCTGGTTTTCATCTCCCTGAGTAGTTCAGCTTCACCCTCAAATTTGGCCAGCTCATTACTTAGTTTTTGGCTTCAAATGGAATGGTATCAGAAGGGAGTTAAGACAGATTTACAAGGCCAAATTTATGGAGACATTGATGGCTACCAGACATGTAGAGTATACATTATCTCCAATAATGGAGACACCATGTCTGCTAATACAAGATTTTATTTATTTGATTTTTTTTAAAAAATATCCCACTTTTATTACTTTATAAGTAACTCAAGGCATAATGCTCCTTCCTTATTTGGGTTAAACTGAGAGAAAAGGACTGGCCCAGAGACACCTAGCTGGTTTTACTACCAAAGGCTAGATTAGAACTCTAGTCTTGGGCCTTAACCACTACTCTAAACTGGGGAAGCTGAAGAAGGGAGTGCTATTGACTTGATGCCCTGCCTGGGTTTTTTCTAGAAACATTTAGGAATCTGGATAGTAGATTATATCTAGCAACTTATGTTATGTCTTTAAGTGTTTGTTTACATTGTTAGGATTCCAGATAAGATATATTCACCTATAAGTCTTTCCAAGGGGAGATAAGAGGTTTATAAATAAACTATCAGAATACAAATATGAAGCTAAAAAATTAAAATATTTCCTTTATATGGCCAATTGGGGCAAGAATCTTGCTGGAGATCAAGAGAGTTGTCCATGGAGACATTGGTAGTTGTGAGCATCATGATGGGAAGGTGCAAAAATAAGACAAGTGACACCAAAGGGAACAATCCTCCCTTCTAGTCTTCTGATCTTTTCCCCCTGAATTATGCCTCTGCATATAACTGTCTGGAAAAAAGGGCTCATAATTCATGTATGTAAAGGGGCTATGGGAGAAAAGCCAGATTGCAATCAATATTACACAAGTCCTGGCATACAAATGCTGAAACTCAGAAAGCAGATGCTTGGCCTGAGTTTTACTAGTCTCAGAATGACTGTTCCAACTGAGCCTGGGAAGGGTTTGCGAAGATCAAAGCCAAAAGAAAAGAGAAAAAGGAGGAAGAATCTGGATGAAATAAGAAAACGTGTTAATCATATTGCTATCTACATGTGTGCAGTTCTAGCATTAGAATGGGGGGAGCTAGAAGTGAATAGCCCTTAAGGCTTCCATTCAGTTGAACTCTGTGTTTTGTTTAAAAAAACACACAGACAAGACAGGACAATATTTA